AAAGATCAGATTTATCAGTTATACTTTTTTCAAATCAGAAACACTTGCATACCAGGTTCATGAGCTAGAGCGTGTTGAAGAACTTTTTCTGCTTTGTCATACCACTTCAGCTTTAATAAGAGCTCAGCCAGGTCATAGCAAAGATAATTCTGTTGTCCACTTTTCAGAGCGGCTTCATAATAAGTGATTGCCTAAGCAAAATTCATTTCATTTATGAAAAAAAGGCAATGAGAATGGCATTCAAGCACAGATATTTCATATATCACAGACTGAAAGCACATGCACAATTGGAAATAACCAGCAAGAATCTTAGGATATACCTGTCTATCAGTTAAGTATGCCATTTTTCTTACAGAATCAAACACAGCACAAAGCAACTAAGATTTCTTATAATAAGTGGCTAAAGAACAGTGGTTGGCAAAAAAATTTTTTACAGCTTTTATTCTAGAGGCCAGTAAACCCTACTGAATGCATATACTTTGTTAGCTGTTGTATATATATTCAAAAATTACTAGGAATAGAGCAAGAATATAACAGTTAAAGCAAAACCCATTATCCCTACTAGAAAAAAAAATAACTCAAAACACATAGCTTGCCAAAATTAGTTCAGTAGAAAGAACATTTATCATGCTTTGTCACATAATGAAAGAGATGTAAGAATAGCAACTTTATGGTAATTGATTTAGTGGCAAGGATATAGCCGCAGAATGAAGTGTGAAGTAAACTCTAGGGCCCAAACAATCTTCACAAAAAGAAGCAATGAAGAATTTGAAACACTGAGAAAGCCTTTAACACAAATCCCAGTTCATAAATACAAATTTGCAGTTTACAACCATCAAAGATGCAAATGGTGCTTGCTGAAGAATTCTCTGGAACAGGGTTTGATAAATTGGATATTTCAAAAGGACTTACCTTCGAGTAGTTGTGGGTTTTGACAAGTGCCTTCCCAATTTTACTGGCCAATGTCCCATCTTTCGGGTTCTGATTTAATGCTTGCTCATATGCTACTATTGCTTCCTCAGGCTAATATTGTCAAACACAAAAATAAGCAGTAAAAAACAGCTTAACTGGATTCCATTAAATGGCACTATTTCTACAGTTAAGATCTATATTTGGAATATGTCATAAGACTAAGCACATAATTGAATTTCAGAAACTTTAACAATTTCAGAAAGGTGACAGTGAGTAGGGTAGGTGTAATTTATTAGTATAATCCTACCCATGTTAATTGTGCTTTTGTCTACATAAATAACAAGATAAGAACTAGGAGACAGCTTCCTGACTTTTCATTTCTGGAAGTCATTTTAACAACCAGTTACAGAGAGTTGGAGGATTGCTTCCCTTTGAAGAAAACACCATCTTAGTAGCTCTCTCCATCTTCCTGTTTAAAGGACACTCCTAACATGTTTCTGGTATCATCTCTATTTCAAATAATGGTAGTGCTGAATTACTGGATCTTAACTTGAAAAAAAATCAATTTTTTCAAATTGTAATGGCTATCTCCCTTTTATTGTGATGACTGGATATTCAAATGTTAAATAAACATTATTAAAAAACCAAATTCCTTTTAATATACAGTTACATTACTCACAAAGTTTTGTTTTTTTTAAAATCTAAGTTCAGTAGCATCAGAAATTTTACCTCTTGAATATTCATGTATGCATCACCAAGGAGAAGAAAAGACCGAGGGTTGGGCATTCTTTCAGCAATTTCTCTGAAAATCAAGCCAACTCTACTTAGTATATTGAATATAAATATCTTCTTCTAAACCAATAAAACGAAAGGTAAGCCTATTTATTTCAATTAGGCAGTAGCCTTCAGAGTACCTTCCACATATCCCACGGTGTAACATTATAAAAACGCTACCCATACCCATGCCCAGATTGTTTATGCTAGATCAATTATTTTTGCCATTGAATCTTTCCATTTTCTGAAATGCAAGTAATACAGAATAGGTAGATAGCAAACATATAAACACTCATTATTTGGAAATGCACATTTTGCTATCTTTAATTTTGAAATGATGTGGAAGTGAAGATACCAAAAAAGGATAGAGGGAATAAAATCTTAATGTTCTCCTATGAATCTTGAGCTCTGATACTCATGGCATAAATTAAAGGCTAAAAGGAGTTACCTTAAAAAATGCAAGATCTTCTACTTCAGTATTTGCTGCTTATTTTTTACCTATAATATTTAGACCACTAAATGTAAAAATACCAAAGTTATTCAAATGATAATATGGTGCTACGTCTCTAAAATACAGTTTCTCATCTAATTGATATAAAAACTCTATGAGAAAGAAAATTATTATCCCAATTTTATAGATGACGTTAAGAATTTAAGTCTGTAACTAATGATTCAGATCTGCCTGAAACAAAACCTACGCTTTTACATATGGTGCATCCAAAACAAATCAACCCTATTTTTAAGTATTTTTATATCATTAGAGATGATGGTGCTGATCTTTTAGAAATATTTTAGAAAATGCCACCCAGGAGCTCCAGTTCATCCACCTAAACACGGAGTGTTGCTCAGGTTCTCCGAATCGCTCAGCACTTACAAAGAATTTGAGTGGATTTGAGAGCTTTGTTATTTATAAAATGCAGATGAACCAATAATGCATTAATTCATCAACATTTTACTATGTTTTAAAGAGCTAAAAACATTAATTTTCTTTTACATAAAGTATATGCTTGCTTGTTTACCTTTTTGTTTGGGGAGAAGGAAGAAGAGAAACGTGTGTGTGTGTATGTGTGTGTGTGTGTGTGTGTGTGTGTGTATGTTGTATATCCCAATAACTCCTAAGGGCATCAGTGTGACGTAACTTTTAAAGCACCTGCCCTTTCCCCAAGAAAAATGTGTAACCCATACCTTTCTGTGGTGCATACTAAACCATAACCTCCT